TAAAAAAATAAATAAATAAAATAATAAAAAAAAATGAGAATAGGTTAAGGGACCTGAGACACCATCAAGCGTAAGAGCATTCACATTATAGGGATCCCAGAGGAGACTAAAGGGGCAGAAAACGTATTTGAAGAAACAACAGCTGAAAACTTTCCTAACCTAGGGAAATAAACAGACTTCCAGGTCCAGGAAGCACAGAGAACACCTAATAACATGAAACCAAGGAGGCACACACCAGGACAAATAATTAAAATGTCAACAATTAAATCATCACCATGAAACCAGCCTTACAAGTAATGTTAAAGGGACTTAAGTGGAAAAGAAAAGCTGTAACTAGAAGTGAGAAAACTATGAAAGGAAAAAATTCCAAATATATTGTAAAGGTAGTAGATTAATCATTTATAAAGCTAGTATGAAGATTAAAGGATAAAAGTAGTAACATCAATTATATCTACAATAATTAGTTAAGGGACACACAAAATAAAAAATGTAAAATACTACATCACATACATAAAACGTGAAAGGGGGTAATAAAAATGTAGTGCTTTTAGAATGTGTTCAAACTTACGCAACCATCAACTTAATATTACAGACTGCTATATACATAGGACATTATATATGAACCTGATAACCACAAACCAAAAACCCGTAATAGACACACAAAGAGAAAGAAATCCAAGCATTAACACTAAAGAAAGTCATCAAAGGACAAAGAGAGCAAGAGAAGAGGAAAGGAACACAGAACTACCAAAACAACCAGAAAACAACAAAATGGCAAAAAGAATGTATCTATCAATATAATTTCTTTAGATGTAAATGAACTAAATGTTCCAATAAAAAAAAGGGGGTGAATGAATGGATAAAAACCATGACCCATCTACATGCTGCCTACAAGAGACCAACTCTGGACCTAAAGACACATACAGACTGAAAGTCAAGGGCTGGAAAAAGATACTCTATACAAATGGAAGTTTTCAAAAAAAAAAAAAAAAAAGCACCAGGGTAACAATACCTATTACCAGACAAAACAGACTTTAAAAACAGACTATACTAAGAGACAAAGAAAGGCATTACATAATAAAAAGGGATCAATTCAATAAGAGGCTATAACAATTGTAAATATCTAGGCACCTAACATAGGCACACCTAAATATATAAAGCAAATATTAACAGACATAAAGGGGAGAAAGTGACAGTAATACAGTAATAGCAGGGGACTTTAACAGCCACTTACATCCACAGATCATTCAGACAGATGGACTTAAAATATATAGAGTTACATTACATCCCAAAAAATTAAAATTGCAGAATACATATTCTTTTCAAGTGCACATGGAACATCCCCCAGGACAGATCACATGTTAGGCCACAAAACAGTCAATAAATTTAAGAAGTCAAATCATATCAAGCGCTTTTCCAACTACAACAGTATGGAACTAGAAATCAATCACAAGAAAAAACTGAAAAAAAACAAAACAAAAAACACAAACCCAAACAAATGGAGAATAAATAACATGCTATTAAACAACAGATGGGTAACAAAGAAATCAAAGAAGAAATAAAATATGTAGATACAAATGAAAATGGAAACACAATGCTTCAAATTCTTTGGGATGTAGCAAAAGCAGTTCTAAGAGGCACGTTGATAGCAATACAGGCCTCTCTCAAGAAACAAGAAAAATCTCAAATAAATAACCAAACTTACACATAAAGGAACTAAAAAACAAGAAGCAGCAAAGCCCAAAGTTAGTAAAAGTTAGGAAATAAAGATCAGGGTGGAAATAAATTAAAAATAGATTAAAAAAACAATAAACAAGATCAATGAAACTAAGCTGGTTTTTTGAAAAGAGACATAATTGAGAAACATTTTGCTAGACTCATCAAGAAAAAAGAAAGATCAAATAAAATTTGAAAGAGAAGTTATACCACAGAAAAACGAAGGATTAGAAGAGACTACTATGAAAAATGAACTGGACAACCTAGAAAAAAATGGATAAATTCCCAGAAACAATCTTCCAAGACTGAATCAGGAAGAAACAGAAAATATGAATAGACTGATGACTAGTAATAAAACTGAATCAGTATTCATAAAACTCCCAACAAATAAAGGTTCCAGGACCAGATGACTTCCAGTGAATTCTATGAAACATTTAAAAAAGAGTTAATACTGATCCCTTCTCAAACCATTCCATTAAATAGAAGAGGGAGGAATGCTTCCTCATTCTACAAGGCCAGCATAACCCTGATACCACAATCAGACAAAAACTGCAGAAAAAGAAAATCACATCCATTTATCCTTGATGAACACAGATGCAAAAATCCTCAACAAAATATCAGCAAACCGAATTCAGCAATACATTAAAAGGATCATTCACCATAATCAAGTAGGATTTATTCCAGGAATGCAAGGATGGTTCAAAAACCACAACTCAATTAATGTGATATACCACATTAACAAAACAAAGGGCAAAAACCATATGATCAATTTCAATAGAAGCAGGTAAAGCATCTGACAAAAATCAACATCCATTCATGATAAAAACTCTCAATAAAACAGGCTCAGAGGGAACATATCTCAACATAATAAAGACCATTTATGAGAAACCCACAGCTAACATTGTACTCAATGGTGAAAAGTTGAAAGCTCTTCCTCTAAGATCAGAAACAAGACAAGGATGTCTACTCTATTATTCAACATAGTACTGGAATTCCTAGGCACGGAAATCACACAAGAAATAAAAGGCATCCAAACTGGAAAGGAAGAGATAAAACTGTCACTATTTGCAGATGACATAGTTTCACATATAGGAAAACCTGAAGACTCCATCAAAAAGCTATTACAATAAACGAACTCAGTAAAGTTGCAGGACACAAAATACATATAAATCTGTTGCATTTCTATACATTAATAACAAAGTAGCAGTAAAAGAAATTAAGAAAACAATCCCATTTACAATTACATAACAAAGAATAAAATACTTAGGAATAAATATAACTGAGGTGAAAAGACCTGTACTCTGAAAATTAAAAAATACTGATGAAAGAAATTGAAGATGACACAAATAAATGGAAAGATATTCAATGTTCACAGATTGGAAGAATTGTTAAAATGTCCATACCACCCAAAGCAATCTATGGAGCCAATGCAATCCCTATTAAAATATCAATAGTATTTTCCACAGAACTAGAATAATCCTAAAATCTGCATGGAACCACAAAGACCCCAAATAGCCAAAGCAATCTGAAGAAAGAAGAACAAAACTGGAGGCATCACACTTGCTGATTTCAATCTGTATTACAAAGCTGTAGTAATCAAAACAGTATGGCAGTAGCACAAAAACAGACATACAGATCAATGGGAACAGAATGGAGAGCTCAGAAATAAACCCATGTTTAAATGGTCAATTAATCTGTGACAAAAGAGGCAAGAATATCAAATGGAGAAAAGACAGCCTCTTCAATAAACAGTGTTGGAAAAATATATATAAGATATATAAATAACTCATATAACTCAAAACAACAAAGATCAAATCTAATTTAAAAATGGGCAGAGGATGGGGCGCCTGGGCGGCTCAGTTGTTAAGCGTCTGCCTTCGGCTCAGGTCATGATCCCAGGGTCCTGGGATCGAGCCCTGCATCGGGCTCCTTGCTCGGCAGGAAGCCTGCTTCTCCCTCTCCCACACCCCCTGCTTGTGTTCCCTCTCTCGCTATGTCTCTCTCTGTCAAATAAATAAATGAAATCTTTAAAAAAATAAAATAAAATAAAAATGGGCAGAGGATCAGAATAGTTTTCCAAAGAAGACATATGGCTGGCCAAAAGACACATGAAAAGATGCTCAACATCACTAATTAGAGGAATGCAAATCAAAACCACAATGAGATATCACCTCACACCAGTCAGAATGGCTAGTATCAAAAAGAAATAGTGTTGGTGAGGATATAGAGAAAAGGGAATCCTTACGCAGTGTTGGTGGAAATGTAATTTGGTGCAGCCACTGTGGAAAACAGTAGAGGTTCTTCAAAAAATTAAAAATAAAAATACCAAATGGTCCAGTAATTCTAATGCTGGGTATTTACCCAAAGAAAATGAAAACACTAATTTGAAAAGATATATGCACCCCCATATTTTTAACATTTTATTTATTTATTTGAGGGGGGAAAGGGCCAAGGCAGAGGGAAAAGCAGACTCCCCACTGAGCAGGAAGCCTGAAGAAGCAGAAGTGGGAAGAAGCAGGAAGCAGCAAAAGCGGGAAGCGGGGCTTGATCCCAGAATCCTGGGATCATGACCTGAGCCGAAGGCAGCCGCTTAACCAACTGAACCACCCAGGCGCCCCTGCACCCCCATGTTTATTGCAGCATTATTTACAATAGCCAAATTACGGAAGCAGTCCAAGAGTCCATCGACAGATACAGAGATGAAGAAGATATGGTGTATATATACAATGGAGTATCATTCAGTCATAAAAAAAGTAAGATCTTGCCATCTGTGACAGTATGGATGGAGTTTACAGGTAATATGCTAAGTAAAATAATTCAGACAGAGAAAGACAAATACCTTATGATTTCACTTGTAAAAAACAAATGAACAAACAAAAAAACAGAAATCGACTAATAAACACAGAGAACAAACTGGTGGTTGCCAGAGGTGAGTGAGTGGGGGATGAGTGAATAGGTAATTAAGAGGTACAAACTTCTCACTATGAAATACATAAGTCACAGGAATGAAAAGTACAGCATAGGGAATATAGTCAATATTATTCTAATAACTTTGTATGTTGACAGCTGGTAACTACATTTATCAGGATAAGCATTGCATAGTGTATGTAATTGCTGGATCACTATGTTGTATAGCTGAAACTAATATAATACTGAATGTGAACTATAATTTAAAAAAAATAATCGTAGAAAACAAAGTAGTTCAGGCTGGCCAAAACCAATTCTATACATGCATGTATACTATAAACAATTTACTTTTTACCAATACCACTACCAGACAGGTAGTCAAATAAGTATTCACTTACATTTTCTTTGGCCTGTTGGTGTCCCTCTCCCATACTTCTTAAACTTGCTAAATACAGCTTTTCCAAGTTCTTTATTTTCTGAGTTTGTGATTCTTTCCATTCTGTCCTTAGTTCCTCTGCCAAACGAGTTAACTGCTGATTTCTCCTCTGTTTTATGTCCTCTCTTATCTGTAAAGCGATACCCCTTTCTTGTTCTCGAACCTAGAGAATGCATATTTAACAGATTATATGAAAAGAGGTTTACTTCAAGTTTTTTGAAAAGCTATTTGGAAATAGGAACTCCAATGAATTCTCCTCAGGTATATCACACTTGATCTTAGCCAAAAGGCCGAGAAGCGATATCTCCTCAGGTGTATCAATTCTCCCGAATATCCATATTAGATAAGGCCTCTGTAAAGCGGAAAATCCAGTGACGTAAAAAAGTTAAAACCTCAAGACTACTTCTAAAGTTCTCTAACTTATTAGCTATTATCTTCTCCCCAACCCAAGCACTAACAGGACTACCATTATCATTTACATAACTGGTAAGAGGTTAAAATGGTAAAGATGTTCAAAAAAATTTATAGCCCAGGGGTGCCTGGGTGGCTCAGTCGGTTAAGCGGCTGCCTTTGGCTCAGGTCATGATCCTGGAGTCCCAGGATGGAGCCCTGCTTTGGGCTCCCGCTCAGCAGGGAGTCTGCTTCTCCCTCTCCCTCTGCCCCTCCCCCCACTCGTGTTCTCTCTCTCCCTTGCTCACTCTCTCAAATAAATAAAATCTTAAAAAAAAAAAGTAAAAAAGAATAAAATTTATAGCCCAGGTGAGTATAGAGCCAGATGAGAAGTCCATATTTGTGGTACATCATCCCCAATTTCAGATAGAATGGCACCTAAAAACATGCTTCACAAGGGCTTAACTATCTTACTCTGAAAAGACTTCTAGAAAATAATCTACAATTTCTTAAATAAATGTTACAGCAGCTTATAATCTTTCCATTAAGTCTTCTTCAAAGCCATTCTAATCTTCCTACTCTAATCTTCATCAGTAACATATAGTTTGAAAATTGTTTAAAGAACCATTTTCCAGTAATTATAGAGTCAAATAATCCCTATCTCAAACTTCATCTATTTACCATTTCAGCCTATTTTTTCAAATTTTCCTAAACTAGTTAATACACAAGAACCAGGGCTCTTAAACAGCCAGAAAAGGGTTTTAAATGCAACATTCAGAACTCTCTACTGTAAAAAACACTAATAATTTGGGGAAGACAAAGAATTTGAAGCCTTGTTCCAGATGAATCTTACCTGCAGCAATCTTAGTTTTCGTCGCCTTTCATAATCTTCCTTTAAAATGTAAGCCTCCTCATTAGGACTCAGTCTCAGCTTGCCAGCATTCACTACCTTTCTTTTCATTTCTGGGTACTTTAAATATAAAGTTTCTGAATTTAAAAAAAAAAGAAAGAAAGATGTCTATTAAAACAAGGCAGCAAAGATTAGAACAATGTTTAAAATACATTTAATACTTGACATTAAAAGGACTATATATACACAAAATAATTTGGGTAAACTGAGTCCAGCTTATATATTTACAAATTGCAATTATTAAATTCAGCACTTAAGTCAATGATTCTCAAATGGGGAGAAGGGGTTAAAAGGAAGGTCAATCAGAATTACTGAGAAAGTTTTTCCCCCATGACAGCAGAGTGTTGCTTACCTAGAGTATCTGGGACCTGACTTATTTCTGACTGGGATTTCCAGAGTTTACCTACCTTAAATGTAAAAAAGCACAAAGACTTAAAAAAATGTTTTAGCATAGAATAAATGTTTTTGCAATTACAATTTTACACTTTAGAACTTTGATAACTTGTTCATAACCAGCAGGACTGTGTAATTGCAAAAGGCTCCCAGTCCCTAGTTTCAACTCCCAGTCTGTTGTATATAACTTGATGACCAGGTGTCACTGTATCATATGGAATCACATCAACCCCTCAACAATTCTTTAATAATTACAATGGTGTGATGGTTTTAAATCAATGACCATTTAAAAAATTTCTCTGAGAATGACTGTTTGCATGAGTCAGGTGTTTAGGTTCTCCGATCAGTTAATGCCCCTGACATTCAGGTGTTCTCACTCTCCTCCCTAGATTATAACATGGATACTTACATCCTTCTGAAGCTTGCTGAAGCTCCACTTCTTCATCAGACTATCCTCTAGTAATTTTTGCTTCACCCACCCACCACCTCATTCCTGACTTGCCCACCCAGAATGCACATTATCTTTACACTCAATTTGGAGACGAATCTAATGCTGTCTTGGTATTACCTTGCTCTAGTTTTTCATCAATTACACTGTACCTTTCCTAGCTAGATTCCTAACAACTGAAGGACAGAGGTTATAGTTTTATTTTAATATTCAAATTAATTTAACAAATGACAACTATCAGGCAGTATTTCACAAACTATGGATGGATACTGTTTTGGGCTAGGAGGACTTAAAGTTATCTAATAGGGACTAATCGGACTCTGATGCCAAAAAGAAATAATTGCTTGCATTTGAAAATCTTTTCTAGTAAATAAAGTAACAGTAGGTAAAGTGCTGTCTTCATTTTATAAATGAAGAATCAAAGGCCTCTTCTGTTACAGGACTTCACCTAAGTGACAGGATCTACTGGCAGATCCAGAGGAAGAATCTGGTTTCCTTATTCCATATGGCTCCTAACTTTCTGATATGCTAAAACATGTGGAATGAGGAAATTTTTGTTTAAACTGGTATTTCTTGCTAGTGGGGATTGATGAACAAGGAAGGACCGAACAAAGAAGAAAAAATGAGCAAGATTAAATTCAGTCTTATTTTTTTCTGAAGGTCTCTGAATTCATATTCAAAATATCAAAACTAATTCCTGATAAATCTCATAGACAAAGTATCATGGGAAAAAAAGACAAAAAAGAGAACATACTGTAAAATTCCATTTATATGAAGTTCAAAAACAAGCAAGACTAATCCATGATGACAGAGATTAAAACAGGGGTCACCTTTCTGTAGGTTAATGACTAGGAGGAGGCACATAGGAGCCTGCAGGGATGCCAGAGATGGTCTGTATTTTGATCTGTGTTATAATTACACAGATGTATACATATGTAAAAATTCCTCAAACGATACACTTAGATTTGTGTCTTAAGGCGTCTTATACCTCAATAAAAAAGGGAAAAAATCCTGTTTTTTCAGATTGTTTTGAGTATCTATCATCTCAATTGCTTGAGGATTACAAGGAAACATACATTTGGTACTTTTACCTCCTGAGATGTGGTAGAATAATTTTTCTACTTTATTTTTTAACTTATTTGGAAATAATTTCAGACTTAGAATTCCCATATACTCTTTCCCCAGCTTCTCTAAACATCAATCAGAGCACAATGACCGAAACCAAGAAACTGACACTAACAATACTTCTAACTAATTTACAGACTTTATTCAAATTTTGTCAAGTATTTCACTAACGTCCATTTTCTGAACCAGGACCCAATCCAAGGACAACCCATTGCTTTCGACTGCTGTGTTACTCTGGGTCCTCCAAGAAGCAGAGGACAAGACAGGATTAAACCCACAAAGATTTTATTAGGAGAAATGTCTGTGTGAGGGATAATGGGAGGGAGCTAGTAAAAACTGGGAGTACTTCAGACTTCCATGCAAATCTGACACTGAATGGAAGAAGGGAAAGTTGGGTAGATGACTGCCATGCAGTCTAAAGAAGATTCAGTAAGATCTCTGAGGAGTTAAGGGAAAGTCCCTTGTTTCTCAGGAATAGGCCTGCCTTAATTCCCATGCCATGCTCAGTCACTGGCCAGAAACAGCCCTTGGGAAGCCCTGGGAAGCATCCATGCAAATGGATTTCAGAACACAGGAGCTGAAGGTCTGTGAATTTCATTCTCATGGCTGTCGAAATTGTTATGTCTCCTTGGACTCCTCTAATTTGAGACAGTTCCTCAGTTTGTGCCTTTCTTTTCAACCTCCTGACTTTTAAAAACTACTGGCCAGTTATTTTGTAGAATGTCCCTCAATTTGGATTTGCTTAATATTTTCTTGTGGTTAGATTGAGATTACACATTTTTAGCCAAGAACACGGAAGTGATGATGCACCCTTTTTCAGTGCATTATATTAACTGGTGATATTAATTTTGATTCCTGGTTAGGTGGTGTCTACCAGGTCTCTACACTTTTCCTTTATAAGTATTTGGAGAAATAGTTGAGCCTATACATAAATATCATGTTCCTGATTACACCTTTGCTCCTTAGTATCTAGTGACGGTTGTTTGAAGCATTAACTATAGCATTTACCAAAAAGCATTTTCTATTTCCATTATTCCTTCTACACTTATCAATTGGAATCCCACTGTAAGGACGTTCCCCCTGCTCCCTCTCTTATTTATTAAGTCATTTATTCATATCAGTATGGATTTTTATATTCCGTGAATACTATCCAATACCAGATGATATTAACTTATTTTTTAAGATTTTGTCCTGAGAATTAAATGGCACTTGGTATATTGTAATCACAAAATACTAGACTTAGAAGATTTGTGTTCAAGACTCATCACAACCATTTACACCAGGAAGACACTGGCCAGGTCGTTTAAGTTACTGTGGTCTCGTTTTCTTAAATTATGTAATGGGAATCATAACATCTATCCCAACAGGTTGTTCTGATAATTACGTGACTTAATGTGAAACTGCCAAATACTTTCTAAGTATTAAGGACTCAAACGTTCCCCACTGTTTTAAAAGCTCAGTTTGTGGCAGGACTAACTACCTAAGAAGTTAAAGGTGAGAGCAAAAAAGAGCACGCTCTCTGCTAGAAACAATTCCAGGCAGTGCTATTAAACGGCTCCCGGGTTTCAGGACAAGTCCTGGGGGTGCCTAGGGGCAGGGTGGGCAGGCCGCAGCGAGAAGCGCTTGCAGCAGCAGTCCCGGAGGCCCTCCCGGCCGCCCGCGGTGGGGAAGCCCAAGGACCCCGCGCGACCCCACCCCGGGAGGGCGTGCAAGACCGACCACACGCGCCTAAGGCCGAGGAGCAGCCTCTCGCAGCAAGTTGCGGGTCTGCTTCGGGACGCACCTCCCTTCCCCGCACTCCTCACCGCCGCCAGGTCGATGCCAGCCAGGGCCCGGGGTGCGCCGAGGCCTCAGAAGCTCGGGCCGTGCTGCGTTCCCGACGCCGCGCCTTCACGGCATCCCCTTCCCGGGGAGCACACCCCCCAGCTCCTGGGCTTCGGGGGGTTATGCGCGCCCGGGCCGCGGGAAGCCGGCGCGTCCGTCACTCACCTGAAAACCAGGAGCCGGGAATCAGGAACTGCAGCTCAGACAGAGACGACCCCTGGGCCCGCGGCCCACCAGCTTCCCAACAGCCGTTTGTGCGCCTGCGGGGCAGCCATCTCCAAGCTCCCGTCACTTCCGTCATTCAAACCGCCCACCAATGGCGGGACCAAGCGGCGGGAATCGGGCTAGTCCCGCCTCCCGCGAGGGCCGCTGGGACGGCCGCGCCGGAAAAGCCCGCGCACACGCCAAACTCTACGTAGTGGTCCATTATTTCTCATACGTACCGAGGCCTTGAGGTTTACTGTCTCTCGCTGGGCTCACTTTACACAGCAGAAGACAGAGGTCCAGAAAGGGGAAGATATTTGCCCAGAGCATTGAGGGTGGCTTTAGTTTTAGGCCCTATTATGAGGATGCCACGGGATATGTATCCTTTTGCACATTGACTGTACAATTCATTTGGTACTGTCATTCTGTTAGTGTCTCATAGCGTTCATTAAGGGGCTCCAACTTGTACAATGAACCATATCGTGACAGTCTGTGCCTCCAGAGGTCTGATACATCTACAACATGTCACAATTTACTATAAACTATAATCAGGAGATAAGTGCAGGTTCATGTTTATTGAGCAACTATTATGTGCCAAGTACAGTGTGGTAGGTGCAGGGGAGACAAGGGTAAATGGGTTATGGCCCCTATCCTAGATTTTGTAGCCTGGAGGTAAAACATGGCAAGAATCAAAGAATTAGAACATGGGGAGTGGGGAAGAGGGAAGTTGCTGACATGATCAGATTTGGCTTCATGGTGGAGAAAAGGCCAGAGGGAATGAAGGCTGAAGACTGAAGGCAGAGAAACCAATTAGGATACTACTATAGGAAGTGAAAGATTATCGAAAACGAGGCCAAACATCAGAAATTGATGGTTACCTGGCTATGAAAAGCAAAGGAGAGGGAGAAATCAACCATGATGCCTAAGTTCTATATTTGGCACTGAGTGGATGGGGATAACATCCTGCTAGAACTCAGGAAGAAGAGCAGGTTGGGGTGGGAGGAGTAATGAGTTAAGCTTTGAATATTTTGAATTTAAGCTGTTTATAGGATGTCTAGACAAAGGATGAATTGTAGAAATATTTAGGAGGCAAAATTAGTAATACTGACAAAGGATTGCATGTGAGGTTGAAGGAAAGGTTGAGAGTGAAGTTAACCTCATAGGCTAACAATGTTAAAGGTGGTGCTGCTACCAACCAAGGGAGAAATCAGAAGTGGGAGTCAGTTAAGTGGGCAAGGTGATGAGCTCAGCTCTGGACATATTGAACTTTATTTGGGTGTGGAACATTTTGTGATGTGCAGTAAGTGGATGACTACAGTGGTAGACAGCCCACAGAACTGGGCTAGCATTTAGACTTGGATTTCATTTCCATATGAGTGACAACCAAAGCTATAGTAGATAAGATCACTTAGCGAGGATTTGCAGAGTGAGTAGAACAATGAGATAAGGACCAAACTCTAAGGAACATCAAAACTTAAAGGGATTTGGAGAAAGGAACTGTCCAAGTACATGAAGAGATAGTGTGACCCCACCTCAGCTTTGCAAACAAGGAAGCTGAGTTAAGGGGAAATTCAGTGACTTGGCCAAAAGCACATGTAAGTGGAGGGTGGAACCAGAGCTAGAATTCATGTCCTTATCCTAAATACTAGAATTTTTCCTCCCTGTCTCCCTTCCCCATTTCAGTTCACATTTATCTTGATGGACAGTTGTATTCATTCTAAACATAGTCTTCAACATCCTCAACATAGACTCAGAGATACCCTCTTACACCCAACAAAAGATGTGCCCATTATTTCATGCTGTGGGCTAGGCTTAGTGCCCACCATGTTTTTCAAAAGCACCCTGCACCTTTCCCATCATGGCACTTATCAGTTCTTATTGAAATGAGCTATTTATGGGGCTCTCTATTGATTAGACTCAGTTCCTCAAGAACCAGTAGTGCATTTTGTTCAGTTGCTGGCCACAGAAATCTTCTTAAATGTTCGCTGAGTGAATGATATGCTCCACTTCCCCAACCTGCATCCTGGGCAGAAATTCTACAACTGCAGATTTTGAATTAAGGCTTATTCTGTTTTTAATAGAAGACAGTAAGGAATCAAAGAAAGCCCAGTGGGTTTAGAGTCAGAGCATTTGGTTTAGCATCACAACTCTGAGATTTCTAGCTGTAGGACACTAAGCCAATGAGCCCTAGTTTCTGTTTTGGTTCTCTATTGTTGCCAACCAAACCACCCTAGAATGTCCATAGTGGCTCAGTGTTTATGGCTGGCAGTTGACTCTGGCTGTCAGTTGAAAGCTCAGCTGGAACTGTTGAATGGAATGCCTTCATGTGGCCTTTCCTTGTGGGTTGACTTCTTACTAGCTGAGTTTAAGAGGGAGTATCCTCAGTGTGAGCAGTCCCAGAGAAAGAAAGTGGAAGATGCAGGGCCTTTCAAAGACAAAAATGGTAAGCAGTTACAGTAAGTTCAGCCACATTTTGTTAAATATCATAGGGCAAGCCCAGATTCAGGTGAGGGGAAATGAACCCCATCTCTCAATGGGGAGAGTGACAAAGAATTTGTGGCCATCTTTAATTCATCACCATTATTTTAATAATATTTGATGTGCCCTCTTCACAGTGGTTGAATCATGAGAGCATTTTGTAAGTTCCAAAGAGGTATGTTACATAATATAGCAGCTATTTTATATTTCCTCTCTGGCAACTTTCTCTCCTGGTATAGTCCCAGTCCTCCAGGCCACAGGGGTAGGCAAGTGACACAGACTAGGCAAATTACAGTCCCCTCTCTCCCTTGCTACTGGGATTGACCCAAGGATGAGTACATGAACTAAATTGGGCCAATCAGAATCTTTCACAGGAATTTTTCTTACCGGGGCCAGCAGGGATGAATTTTTTCCTCTCTGGGCTAATTTTAGAATATGAAACTGAAGCTTCCCCAGCGAGGTTCCCAACAGGTGGGCCTCCACAAGATAGTCTGAAAGAATGAGACTGACATTCATCTCAAACACAGAGGATCCTGTGTTCAAGTCCCTGGATCCAGCCCATTCTCCAGTTTACTGACAGAAGCCATTAAATCCCCCCTTGTATTTAAACGGCTTTGAATGGGAGTTTTGTTTTCTTTTTGCAAATGGAAAGAGGCTGTAGATTTACATTTAAATTCTCATAGGCAAACAACATCTGGGCTTCTTGGGAAATAGTATCAAAGAATAGTTAAGATCTTGGACCTCGAGTCCAACTACCTGGATTTAAATTCCTGCTTTAACAACTCTGACCTTGAGCTAGTCCCTGAACCTCCCCCAAAGTCAATTTCCTCATCTTTAAAAGGATGGTAGTAATAGTACTCAAAAGGCAGTTGTAAGGTTTAAAGCTCTTAAGACATGCCTGGCACAAAGCATGTGATAAATGCTAAGTTTTTTGGCTTTTATTTTCATACATTTATTTCAGACCACAGGAGAAAAAAACAAAAACAGGAGCAAAAGCAAAAAACCCTTTTAACATGTGCTCATTGGTGTTTTGGGTTTCATTTTTAATTAGGTCCTTTCGTATTTTGTAGGCCTAGGTAGAGGTATGTATACTTACCTTCTTGAGTATTGTTCTACCACTAGGAATGAATGTTGGTGTGCAGGGATCCAGAGGAAGAGTTGCCCGACACAGTGATGACTTCAGTGTGACTGGTTACTGGGTAATGCTGCCCCTCCTTAAAATGTAACTGGAGCGTTTTAAGATTGGAGCTGTTTCCGACATTTCTTAGGTGCTGAGAGTTTCACTGTTCTGAGTTCACATGAGTCTTTGTCCACATCCAGTATGAGCGGCTAGCATTACAGTGGTGGTGGGGGCGGGGGGAGGAGGGGACTCCCTCAGTAATTCTTGCAGTAGAATCCAGAAGAAAGGGAATCATAGAGGCTGCTTTTAGGCAAACAGGCTTGAGTGATGGAAGGTAGAGAGGGTCCACAGGGACCCCCTCGCTGAACACAGAGAGGCCCATCAGGCGACCCACCTCAAAATATCCAGAGGCCCTAACTGACCAATGGGCTACTTACAACCAGGTACAGTTATTACCAAAACAAGGGAGAATTCCATATGTTGCCATAACTCCTCATCCTCCCCCTTTAATACAGCCCCCAGCCACTGCCTCTTTGCAGACAGTGTATTCTCTGCTGCCCTGCCCCCTGTTCGCTTGCGGTGTATCCAGTAAACTTCTATCTCCTTTTTTCTGCCTCCGGTGAATTCTTTCATCTCCTATGCCACCAACTTCCACCTGATTGTCACCCCACATTTGGGGGCCCCTTCTGATAGAGAGACACCCCATTTAGACACCACGGGAACCTCTGCAAGAACAGAAATAATCAACCATCTGCCCTTCTGCCAACTGCCCTCCCTCTCTCTGGCATAAACACCACCAGAGTTTAACAAGTATTAGTATCTCCATGGGATAATTTAGAGCTGCTACCAGCAGTGAGATTAATAGTGCCCAGCGGAAGAGGAAAGATGGGCTGGGAAAGGCTTTTAAAAGCTATAATATATAGGGCGCCTGGGTGGCTCAGTTGGTTAAGCGACTGCCTTCGGCTCAGGTCATGATCCTGGAGTCCCGGGATCGAGTCCCGCATCGGGCTCCCTGCTCGGCAGGGAGTCTGCTTCTCCCTCTGACCCTCCTCCCTCTCATGCTCTCTGTCTCTCATTCTCTCTCTCTCAAATAAAAAAAATAAATAAATAAATAAAAAATAAAAGCTATAATATATATATATTTTTAAGGTGTGTGGGTAGTTCCCGGGTGGTGAGCAATTGGGCCATTTATTTAAGGAGAGTGAGAAATGAGAGGAGAGTTTGGGAAATTGATTGGTTTTGTTTCATATTTTAAGTCTTTCTTTAGCATATTGCTAATATGTTATTTATTAATATACTAATGTTTATTAAGCCATTAATGTGTAGACTGTGAGTTACATACTTAAAAGGAGAGGGAAGTTTCAATGAAAAGTTCGGGGTGGGGGGAGGAGATGATTTACAACCTAGCAAAGCACATAGCAGTTGAGGAGGACTGGTGGTGTGGCGAGGGTTTTGCAGCTGGAAAAGATGTGGATTTGAACATCTGCTTGAC